GAATGGACGGCGGCTTTACCGCCTAGAGTGGTTCCGAACCCACTGCCCGTTGCACCAGCAGGGCGTGCGCTACCTCCACGTCCCTTTTCGTACTTTTACCCTCGGCCTCCGCACCCATAATTGATGCAATCAGCTCCACGCCCAATGATTTCAAAGCATGTCTCAATGCTATGGTGTAACACCCCAACTCGCGTAACCTGAACCAATGAGTTAACGAATTGGATTGCTACTAAATTGGTATTCACAGCACAACAATTTAGACAAATTATTCAAAAACAACCAAACACCCAATTAATTACGAAAAGTTCGGAGTAAAGTCCATCATGTGCGGAAGTCTCAAAATAACATTCTACAATAAATGTTTAAACTAAACAATTAATGAACGCATTAATTAAATATTCAAAATTAGAAATGATGACATCATCCATGGCGTCACGTATCAACATCCTTCAGGCTGGACCTCCTGATCCAAATCCCTACCTGCGTGCAGTCAAAGACAACAAGACTACACGCTCAGCTGAAAGCTGAGTGAGAAAAATATCTAATGCTAGAATTAATTTCATATATAGTATCGCATTTATATAATCAGCAACATCAGTGAACAATCAACATTTATTTTTTTAGATACAAGAATCAACAGTTCCAATTCATTTATTCTCAATAGGCTAATTCGACCCTACACCACTAAGGCTTAATTCAACATACTAGAGTTACGAACGTTCGAGAGGATCCCTCGAGGCCGATGCTCGGACAAACCCAAAGAGAATCCTCAATGGATGAGTTGGAGTCCCTACTAAGGAATCCCTTAGGTGGTATATTCACTACAAGAATTTGTCTGGTCTGCAACGGATATCTGCTACGGACCAATTTCCGTAGCAGATCTGCAACGAATCAGCGACGGAAATATATTTCCTGAAAAAAACGCATCATCTGCGACGGAGTGTTTGTTTCCGTCGCAAATCAGCGACGGAATAACGTCTCCTATTGCAAATTCAAGTTGGTCAAATTTTGACCTGGTTATCGGCGACGGACGCTTCATGCCATCGCAGATCCGTCGCAGGCAATTACTAAAACATATCGAGTCCCAGTCATTCGTTTGTCATTCTACCCTAATCCCAATTCTCTCTCCGTCAGCCGTCTTCGAACGCCATCCCTCCCACACCCGTCGACGCCCTCGCCAGCCACGCCGCCGACGCACCCCCTCGCCAGCTCCTCGCCGCCGACGCACGCCCTCGCCAGCCACGCCGGACCCTTCAGCCGCTCCAGCCACGTCGTTCCCCAGCCGCGGCGTCCACTAGCTGTCGCCACCCCTCGTCTCCGCCGCTAGTACTCCACCGCCAGCCGTCTCTCTTCACCCGCCGGACCTCCTCGCAGTGAACTTGTAGGTATTTTTGTGTAATTTTATACAATTTATTATTATTGTAATTTTTGGTGAAATTGAATTTGTTTGTGTGAAATTGAGTGCTTTTTTGGTGAAATTTAGTTGAAATTGTGTGAATATGAGATGAAATTGACATAAAATTGGGTAAAAATTGCATTACTTTTTGGTGAAATTGATGGCATTTAAGGTATAATTTTAGGTGAAATTGTATTAGTGAATTTGGCGTTTATTGAGAATTTAGGTAAAATTTAGTTGAATTTTGTGAAATTGAGTGCATTATACGTTCATATATGTAGTTAAATGATTGTTGTTTGTGGTTTAATAAGATTGTCGTTTGTTATCCGCCTTTATTGTTGCCATGGTTTGATGGTAATTTCGTCGACGATGATAGTAATGCTGAAGAAGAAGATGAAGAACCAATTTTAAGCTCCGATGACTCAATAGAAGAAGAACAAGACTCAACGGAGAGCGAGTGAAATTAGAATGACGAGTAAACGTGTTTCCAAATGTTTCTTATACTGTTAATGATTGATATATATTGCTATATGAAATTTATTTTGTTTTATGAGCTAACTATACAATATTTTTATTTCTGTACAGATGAGCGATAATGAGAACCCCCCCTCCCCCACGCCGACTGATAGAGAGTTGTTGGCGCGTTTGAGGAGGTCCGTCATTGGTAGATGGAGACCCTCTTCTCGCCAGGGATCGAGCACATCCACTACATCTACAGGCACTCCCTCTATTTCCTCGAGTCCATTCACTGACACACAGGTGTCCCCCTCCACCCCACGTACTACGCCATCTGGACCTTGTACGTCAGGTATGCAGCTCTCCTCTTAGAGACTAATATAGTAAAATTTCCAACGGATAAGCCATTAGAGTGATGTTTCATTTATCAAGAAACTGAAACAATGTCTACGCTTGTTAATTGATCTTTTTAATGCATGTATTATTGTGTTATTGTGTAAATAGCATCTAGGGTCGGGGAGAGTACTGAGGATCAGGAGGACGGAGGCGGCGATTACCGCGACTCCGAGGACCGCGTTGGCGATGGACACAGTGGTGGGGCTCGTGATGGCGAGGACCGCGATCACGAGAACGAGGAGGCTGGATATCACGAGGGTCCCGGTCATCAGGGTCAGTTCGTGTATGTCAATTCGGATGACGAGTAAGTACTCTGTACATTTGAAGATTATGGTATGACATAAAACATTTACAAATACCTAACGATTTTATGTTCACTACTTATATATTTTTGTAGGGTTACAATCACAAGAGCTGGTGCTAGTCTCATCACACCGGCATTCTACGAGAGGACGGACACAACTGGCATGTCGTGGGGCAAAGTCTCAGTGACGACGAAGGAGTTCTACTATCGAGAGTTCAAGGTTTTTTTGGAAAAATTATTTTTTAACTTCTTTTGATCACAAGAAAATTAATATATGTGAATACAATCTAAATTATTGGCTTTTCTATGATGTTAATGTAGAAAAATGCTCGAGTGGATCCGTCAATCGATGAGGGCAAGCTGAGGAAAGCTTTTCTCAAGAAAGCTGCTGAACGGTACGCGAATTTTACGTACAATCAAAGGAACCCAGGTCGATTGAAGAAGAAGAAGATGGACCCGAGGCCATTTGAGCATTTGAAGAAGGTAAATTAGTAATAGTTTTCATACGAAATCGTATCGCTATGTACAAGTAATTTTTATGAAATATACAAGTATAGGTTTGGGAAGAGGATCCGGAGTTCCTGGAGTTGAGTAAGACTAAGAAGAAGAACAGAAGGAAGGGAAAAGAGGATGGTCCTGCTCTTGGGACGTATTGTGGAGGTTCAGTTCCATTTTCTGAAAATATGAATCGATTGGTAATATATATTTTATAAAATAATAGCTTTGCACTTGTTATTTGGTGGACATTAAATGTAAAATTTAATGGACATGTTCATTGAAACTTGAAGGCTAAAAAGAAAGGGGGGCATGTCTCGTTGGATGAGGTTATCATCCACACAAAGACAAAGAAGCACGACGGCAAGACTTGGGTGGACCCTGAACATGCTGAGCTACAGGTAGTTTCTGTATTGCTATCTTAGCTTGTGTACATGAATTATATTATTCTTGTTGACGTTATTCTTGTTGATGTTATTGTTAATCGTGTTGTTATTATTGTTGTTGCGTTGATGGTGGTGTTGTTGTCGTATGACACTATTTTTGTTGTTGTGTTGGTGGTGTTGTTGTCCTATGACAACTTGTTTTTGTTGTTGCGTTGATGGTGCTGTCAACAGTAGGTATATGTTACGTTGTTATTGATCCATGAAAATGTTAGTTGTTAAGTTCTTGTGTTGTTCTTGTGTGTTATTAACTATCATGTATTTTAGGCTCAATTCTTAGAACTGCGCGAGGAGGCTAGACAAAAAGGGCTGCAAGTCACCGACCAAGAAATATGGTACTCGCTAGTTGAGGGCCATAACGCGAAGAACCGCGTTCCTCGAGTTGGTGACTACGAGCGGGAAATGAGGAAGATGAATCCGTCCTCCAAACCTCGTCGTTCCAGCACGAGTAGCAGAAGCACAACGGAGATGGCAGCACTTAAAGAGCAAAACCAAAGGCTGCAGGAACAAATTGATAATCTAACCTCGAGCTTGTCGCTGACGATTCAGGAGGAGATAAGGAAGCTATATGGTGGTAATCTTCCTCGACGAGGCGATGATGATGGAACGAGAGGGGCAGGGCAGCCCAGGATTTGTTGAGACCTTTACGACCTTAGCTTCCTCCATTTTGAACACTTGACACTAACACTTTACTCCCTCCGTCCCACTATATTTGTCCACTTTCATTTTTGCACACCATCCAATGCACTTCTTTAATCCATTTTATCTTGTAATTTGTATATTAAAAAATTATAGAAATTATATATTAATAATCTATATGTTAAGACAAATCAAACAAGATCACACATGACTATATTTAGGCTTACACATTGAGAGAATTTGATGAGTCAAAGTGCTTAGATGAACAGTTCCAAAAGTCAAAACTGGACGAATATAGCGGGACGGAGGTAGTAATATTTATTGTTAGAATATAATGAATTATGTTACATTCGCACTTGAAATTTATATTAATCTAGCTTTGAATTATCAATTTGGGTGTTGAAATCTTGTTTAGAATTATGTGTGTGAAGATTGGTTGTGTTTTGCCCCCCCCCCCATTTTAATAGCTAGTGCCAAAAACAGGGAAACGGGGAAATGCTGGTTTTGTCAACAAAGAATCTGCGACGGACAGGGTTGTTGCTATTTCCGTCGCTGATCTGCGACGGAAGACTCCGTTGCTGATGCCGTCGCAAATCTGCGACAGTTCTTTAAAACCCGTTGCAGATCCGTCGCAGATCTGCCACGGAATGTAAGTTCCGTCGCAGATATTAAATCTGCCACAACTTTTCTGCGACGGAAAAATTTCATAGCAGATCTGTCGTAGAATAGAAATCTGCTACGGAATTCCAAAATCTGCAACGGAATTGTTCCGTTGCAGATCAGCAATTTTCTTGTAGTGATTGACTCCCATATGTACATTTGAACCCTGGACCACTCGATATGCAAACATGCTCCACAAGGCCCGAACCTAATCAACAGTCCTATAGGTGATTAAACTATCCAATTCAGTTCAGATTCGCCTAGGTATACTAGGTGGCCAGTTTCCATCAAAGTTTTCAAGAGAATATAAGCACTTTAACATTTCCATAAACAGAACAACACACTCAGCGGCCTATCGAAAGAATCACTTCTTACCGATTACCGTCATGCTCAAATAACCCGACTATGCCCAACAATATTAAAATAACTTACATGTGTCGCAAACTCGGGATCAAGGACTTCATCTTGAGGCCCGCTGCACCCCCCGAAACAGTACCAATTACCACCGGATTAGCAAGTAAACTCGCCGGCCAACCCGACGACCTAGAAACCAACCAACCCAAACCCTCCCGGCGGTTGCCGACCGCCCGGCAGCCTCACTGCCACCTCGGACAGCCGGCCCAAACTGGCCCAACGGCCCAAACAACCAGCCCGGCAGTCCAAACAACCGACCCGAATAGCCCAATCAACCTAAACACCCCAATTGCATCCAATAGAACCCAAATCCATCCAATTCAACCTAAATCAACTCAATTGCATCCAATTAGACCTAAATCAACCCAATTGCATCCACTTGAACCCAAATTTCACCCAATACAATCCAAACAACCCAAATAGAACCCAATTGACCTAATCTACCAATTGGGCCAAACCAACCTGACTTGAACCCAACCGTACAAGTCCAGTGAGCCCACAGCCTTGGTCGCCTCCCCTGCCGGCGTATCACAGGTGACTCGCCGGAGAACAGCCGGGATTTCAAGCCCAAACTCATCCCAACAACCAATTCTTCCAATTTCCCAATCAATTACAAAATTCATACGAATAAGATTCTAATATACCAATTAAAGCTAACTTTAGGTATTTGGTCAGCGAATCACCTCGAAATTGAAGGAATTGAGCTCGAATTGGAGGGGAGGGAGGTCGCCGCTGCCCTTGTTCGACGATGCCTGCTGCGCGACGAGGGACGGAGGAACGGAGGCTGTCGGCGACGGAGTTCGGCGGTGCTCTCAGCGGCTGCTGCGGCTCCTGGCTGACCGGACGACGACGAAGAAACAAACATGGAGCAGAGGAACGAATAAGAGAACGAACAGAAGTAGGGGTGTATAATGTCATTTTCGTTATAACATCAAAGTTTTTTTATTTAAATATGTTAATTACTCATTTTAATTTTTAATATTATACGGAGTATAATTCTATGTTAGGATTAATTATTGGTGTTTATATTCTTAGATTTTTTAAAGTTTATAATATAGTTAAATTGTTTAATTAATAGTTAAGAAAAAACTTTAATTGACTAGTAATTTATTTACATTTTTGTTTATATGATTTTTATAGATATCACATAAACTCATATAAATAAAATGAAGCATATAAATAAGTTCGATTTATTCGGTTCAGTTCGGTTTTTCAAAGTAAAAACCAAAACGGAACCAAACAATAACGGTTTGGTTCGGTTTTTTTACATTCAGTTTCGGTTTTTTCGGTTCGGTTTTTTTTCTAGCTCGTTTCGATCAATTTCGGTTCGGTTTTCGGTTTTCCCGACCCAGCCCTAAACAGAAGGGAGAGATAGTGTGTCTCATGTAACCCCTACCTATTTAATACTCGCTTCGTCCTAAAATTAACTTCCTAGTTTGACTTTTGTATTCAAATTTTTTAAACTTTGACCGTATATTACAGAAAAAATACATTGAACTTTCATATAAATTTATTATTAATAGATTTATTTTGAAACATAGTTTTGAAATATATAATTTTTATAAAATATAATTATATAAAAATTGAGATATTGATGGTCAAAGTGTCGCATTGAAAACTGTGAAAAATCAAATAGGAAGTTAATTTTAGTACGGAGGAAGTATAAAATTAAATAGATTTTAGGGTCTAGTTTACACTTTCTAACTAGTTAGGATAGATCTAGTCCCAATTACCTTATTCGTTCACTCGTAATTTGGGCCCAGTAAGTCCGATTCACGATCTGTTTACGTGGTCAAGTTCAGAACTGCGAGCCCTACAACGTAGGTTAATTCTTATATTAAATATGCAAATTAGAAAAATAACATTCGTATTGACCGACTCAGTAATTAACTAATTATATAAATTAATTAAAATACTAAGCCAGGTTTTGGGGCGTTACATATGGTTATTACGACCGCAATGACTACAATGTAAATGACTAGTGGGGGTCTTGCGGCAAATGCTACTCCTTCCGTGCGGTCATCACAACCACTGACTATAATCAAGTGACGTTCTTCCTCGTGGAAAACTCGATCCAGATTAAGTGCATTTTCCGCACCAATGAGTTGCGAGCGGATACTTCCATATTGTTCATCATCCAAACCTAACAAAAAAATCAATTGTTTTGTTTTCCGCAAGCTGGGCACAAGTGAGCTGAGCCGTTGGACAAACATAACCACCGGTAGGATCAATTAAACTATGAAGTTGATCCCTTGAGGTAATAAATTGGTTATAATATGCAATCACACTTTGGCCCTTTTGACGCAATGAATTAAGTGCCACCTTCAACTGATAGATCCGTATCTTTTCATCAAACGAGTCCATAATTCAAATGCGATAGTGTGAGAAACAATACTAGGTTGAATAGTTTCATCAACACTATTAAAAATATGATTACATACGAATTGACGATTAACATTCCACGCATTAAAATCATGGGGTTCATTTGGTTTGGAAATACTGTTTAGTGTAAGAAAATCAGCTTTTCCACGTCCGTGTAAAGTATTAGGAATAGCCTTTTCACAAATATCATAGTTATCACAACGAAGAAGGTATTTGGTTAAGGAATTACCCGCATGCTCAGATGGGTGAAGGTAATATATTGTTGATGGGTTGTGGATAAGCCTCGTGCGCTTTGTAGTTTCAGGAGCAGACATGAGGGCAGAGAACTGGATGAATCTTCGTGGACTGCTTGGACGAAGCTCAACGATGAGGAGGAACTAACGGACCTCCTGGGCTAGGCGATGACACAATGACACCGAGAATCACTACGATATCGTGTTAAAATTCCAGTGGGCCGAGAACAACATAACGGCTCTCCGTGCGTCAAATGTTTGACGCATAGGGGATGACGACCCCTTAACGCCGAACGGGGGCGGTGTTTGACGCCCTTTTGATGTTAAATGCTAGATTACGCCCCCGGTGTTAGACCCATTTCCTTTGATCTTAAGAAAAATTTACATGAATACTCCAAGATATTTGTCATTTTACGATAATACTCCAAAATTAAATAATTTAGTCCACTGCTCCCATAAATTAATCAGTTTTACTCTGATACTCCAAGCTACCAAGTAAGCTAAGTACGTGGCATTTTAAATGGTGACTAGATAATTATTATGTGTGAGTTGGTAATTGATTGTAAAAATAAAGAAAATACCTTGAATGTGTTATAATTACTCCCTCGATGTTGATCTGAAATAAAAATATGTTAAAATTGAAAAATAAAGTGTTCATGTTTTAATTAGATAAACTATGAATTATATTTCAGATAAAAAATTAGAAAATTTTAAAGTTGATATAGTCCAAAATTTATATTTTAAAGATCTCTCCAACGAATATAAATTTGATTATGAAATATGTACTTTAAAATTCTTTATTTTTTTGAAATATTATTTTCTTTTACTTTTTATAAGTCCATAGTTATCAACACACTTAATAATTTACAGTCTTCATTTAAAATGACATGCATTTTGCTTTGTTGGTAGTATGGAGTATTGTTATAAAATTAAATAATTTTAGGGAGCAGCGGTGTAAATTATTTAATTTCATAATATTAACGTAAAATCACAAATTTTTTGGTGTATTCGTTTGAATTTTACCTAAATTTTATACTTTTTCATCCATAATGATTTTTTGCGTTTGAATTTTAAAAACTTGAGAGATATGTTGAAAAGTGAAAAGGATGAAATTAGAATTTGATAAAAGTAGAGATCTTTTTTTTGGCCACACATTCTTCTTCTTAAAAAGGAAAGTAAAATTATTTTAGAAAAGCTAAAAAAGAAAAAGATCGAATACCCTCCGTTCCAAATTAGATTATAATTTCTCATTTACGAGATAAATTTATACTCTTTTAAATACAAATTTATTTAAAAAACTATATAAGAATAATTAAGAAATTTTACTCCGTACATACTAAAAAACTATATCCAAACTTTTACAAAACAAAAATGATAAAAATACATTATTTATCAAACAATCAATAAAAATATACAAACAAACAAAAATTGTTGTGGTGTATTAGGTTACAAAAAATACTTTCTCCGTCCCAAAATATTTGGCACATTTTCTTTTTCAACTGTCACGAGAACTTTTATTTATTTGTACGTTTTCATTGGTTATTTGATAAAATAAAATATTATTGACCCCTCTAATTTTGAAGAATTTTTAATGTAGTTTTTTAAATATGTAAATTATATATTTTTTATTTCTATACCAAAATTTAAATAAAATACACTAAAAAAACTTGATATTTTATCATATTTTTAGAAATGTGGTAAATATTTAGAGGGATAGGGAGTGGCGGAGGATGGAATAGATATTTTTTTTTCTTTTAATTAAAAACATACTCCATATTGCAATAATTTTGGTCCCACTCAACAGTGGCACGCATTTAAAGCATGGCCTACAAAACCACACGTGTGTCACGACTGGTACGTGGAGCCCCGGGCTTAACCGCACGAGTGGCTTCCTCACGGGCTGCCTGAATCGCCGCGCTACACTACTCTTCCCAAACCCAGCTACGCCTAGTTGGGGTTGTTGGTACAGTCTTAACCTTTCGGGTTTTTCAATCGTCTGTCCAAAAGTTCCGTACTCTCTCTGTCCCAGAAAGAATTTCTTGTTTTGATTAGCGTGTAAAATTTCATAAATTTTAAAATGATTTTATTTGAAAATTGATATGAAAATAACATATAAAAAAATTATATTTAAAAACTACATCAAAAACTTTACAAAATAAGAGGCGACAAGAATATTTTATTTTATCAAATTATCAATGAAAACACACAAACAAATTGGAGTTATCGAGAGGCCGTAATAGTAAACAGGAAAGACTTTTTGGGACGGATGGAGTATTTTATAAACCAGTCAAAACAATTTGGAGGATTAAACTATTTGTATATCAAAATTTTTATCTCATTTAGTACTCCAAAAACAGGAACCGATGTTTTGTGTTAGTATGATATTAGTGTAATGATTTACATTGGCAAAAAATATCAATGCAATTTTTTTTAATTTAACTAACACCGAATTGGGATTCGATTTACATTATTTCCTTAAGTTTCTTTGTTTCCTAGAATGATTTAGTTTCATAGTTGGAGTTTATTCTTTTCTCTCAAGATTTCTCTCTTATATAAATAAGGGAGGAGTCTCTTTGTATTAGGGCAGAACAACACAATATTCAGTTTAATTTTTTCCGATATTGTTTCGTAACATTTGGGACATATTTTTAGTGTACCTCTAGCATGGTTGCAATTTAAAAAATCTGTCATATTTTAGAGTAAATTCTTTCAATGTTTCTTTATAATTGGGGAATTTCATTTGAATTTTAGACTTGCCCTACCTCTTCCTCGTTGATGCAGACCTACCTCTTCATATGGAATGATACACAATTAATAACGACAAGTAACTTAATACGGAGTAATTGGTAAATGAAAACCGAATATGAGAACTCCTAAAAGATCATTTAAAGAATTTGTTCCATATTTTATCATATTTATTTCACCGTTGGGACAATTCAAATCGCTACATAACACTCTCACATAAATTATAATAAAAATATAGGCAAGCCTTGAAAAGATAACATTTTAGGGGCACTTGCCTCCAGCGGATTAAATTTTGATTACCCATTTTTTAAAATAACATTAGGGTCCCAATAAAAATTATTTGTGCCCCCACTAACCTTTGCTAATCTATTTATGTATAATTTCTAAAAGTAAAAGTATTTATTTACTTAGTTATAGATTATGAGTAATACTTTATGATATTAAGCCAAATTTATGATATTTATGATATTGACTTGTTTTACTTTTTTAAATTCAAACTATTAGATATCCATCTTATTTTTTATTTTAGAGGAAACAATAGCACAAGGTCAAAATGGATTTCAGTTAAATTTAAAAAGAAAGAGATTGAAATCAACCAAGCCTGTCCTTTGTTTCCCCCCATTTTATCAAAAACAAGAAAAACTACTCCGTATAAAAAACCCAAAAAAATATTTCCCCTACTCTTTATAGACCCCACCCCCTTTTATGTTGTGTTTAAGTTATATTATAATTAAGTTTTTAT